AGGCTAATTCTTTAAGCCCAACCAATTCAATTACCTGCCAAATCTGGACAGGACGGCCTTTCAGGCCTTTTTTATTGTCATTATAGTATTACGGGGAACCCCGTAGCAGCCACATCCGTGCTCAAGCCTCCAACGAGGGAACATGCGGGCCCCTGCGCAAGGATGACAGGCATAAAAGGGTATAAGGGTGAGATCCTGCTAGCAAAGAGGAGTGGATTTTTAAATGCCTGAATCTGGAAGTGTTTGTGGAGGGGTGCAGAAAATTGCCATCCATCTGCTTGTCTGCATCTAAAACACATCCAGATCCGGGCGCTTGATCTCATCCTCTTTGCTAGTGGGGCCTCATCACTCAGTTGGGACGCGAGAGCCATATGTCAACCCGACTCTTCCTTCTTTCTCCCCCCCTCCCCCCCTCCCCCCTTGTTTATCAACTCTTCCTTCATTTGAGCCCGAATGTCTCTGGCCGAACTGCGGTCCAGATACGTACAGAATGCTGAGTAGTGGAGGGCGCCCAATGCCTGCATTCCGTAGAATTGAATGATAAAGAATGATTTTTGAAAAAAGAAAAAAGAAAAAAAGAGAGAGATTGTTCAGGGGGAATGATGATGCGAACTAGAATCACCAGCTGTTAGGTCCCACTCGCAACGAAGATTGGACTAAGCACCTGAATCTGGATGTGTTTTATGCAGAGATGCAGAATAGCAGATCAGTTGCAATTTTCTGCGCCTCTTTGCAACTGGGACCTTGCCTCAGGTATGATGTGCTAAAAATCTTCTTTCTTTCCTTTTTCCCAATTGCAAGTTTAATCTTGGGGTAACTTCAGTAGAGTCACAAAAAGGAGTTAATACAATTGCACTATGGGGGCAAGAAAGATACAGTTTGCAATTGCACTTCGGGAGCTGCACCCTACCTGGCCAGAAAGCTGGGTTGTATACATTGTCGGAACTGCAATTCGAAAGTGTATCTTGGCGGGGGGACGAGCGTTGCAACGGGCGCAGGAGCGCTCCGACGAACGCTACCGGTTCGGGAGAACCGGTGTCGCTGACTCCGAAATCCGGCACGTGGCCGGGGGACGGGGTTCTGCCGAAGCCTACCTGGCCATGGCCAGGTCAAACCTGCTCGCGGAGGAGGGAGGAATGGAGGCGGGTCAGCGACCGGGATTTTATGGTTAACGTGAAGGAGTGTTGATGTTAACAAATGCGGAATCGACGTGGCGCGTATAGCGCACACGTCACTGATGTGGGATAGGGTTAAGGCAATAGGAATAGAAGAAGACAGCAGCAGTGAGTGAGGGTTAACTGGGGCGACTAGGAGCAGCGATCGAGTCAACACAGGCAATCCAGGCGGAACGAATGGCGGCCAGTACTTCAGCGGTGGTTCCACCTCCGAGCGTGCCCCCTCCTCCAGGGGCAGCCGGGATATTTGCAGCAAGAGGAGGGCCGTCAATTCCCCCGTCGGGGAATGCCCAGGAGGAGAGTGACAGCGACAGAATCAGGACACTACTGGACATGTGCTTTGACGAGGGTATCTTTCCAGAGTCGAATATCAACTTTGGAGAGACGGAGATTGTAGATGGTGTTGGGGTCCTGACGCTTAGCGATGAGGTGGATACCACCACAGTTAACTGGCTGAAGGCCAGGACGGTCATAGTAATCTTCGACGAGCTGGCCATCAACCTAAGTGTGAACGAGCGTGAGAGACTAATCAGGGTGTATGAGGACGCATGGTACACAGACCAGACGATGAATCCAACGCAGAAAGCGGGAGAACGCATGGAGAAGGCCCCAACGTTACGTCATATGTAGCCAGGTCGGAGAGAATTGCCCAATGGTTGATAATGAAGGGGGAGGATCGGATCCCATCCAGGAACGAAACGATCAAGGTATTATTCAAGCCCTGGATGACAAAGACGGAACTGGACGAATTGAGAGAGTCGGACAGGGAAGTTTCGGATAATTGCGCCGAGAGTTCCACTCGAAGTTCTCCCTTCACTTCGTTTTGCGGTAGAACACTTCATGGGGCGGATCTTGGTAATGCACCCCCCAGAGAAACACCCTGAAGAGCCCAGATTGGGCAACATTCGGATAGACTGTGTCCCTAAAGTCCGCCAGTCGTTTATGGAATGGGTAGTGGTGAGAAAGCCGAGAGGGGGTTACCTAGAAGTATAGTTTGCGAACCAAGATACGCCGTTTTGTAACAAGTGCTTGTGGTGGTTTCACGACGAATTTGATACAGAGTGCCCGCGCTTCAATGCACCTATGCCAGAGGACCGGGTAGGAAGAGGTCGGGGTAGAGCCTAGAGGCAGAGGGAGAGGAGGAAGAGAAAGAGAAGCAAGAGCCTCGATGGCCAGTAGAACCCAGGCAGAAGGAGAAGGAAGAGGGAGAGGAGGAAGAGGGGGAGGTGAGGCAAGGGGGAGACAAGGAAGTGGGTCAACTCAGCAAGTAGTATCCTTGGCCCCTGCTACTACCGCCTCACCCTCGGTCTCGAGGTCAGGTCCAGGGTCCAGCCAAGCGGTTCAACCAGCATGGACGAGTGCAACTCGAGGGGCCAGAAGGTTGTCAGCCGCGGGAACTACACAGCCTCCTCCTATCACACCATCGGCAACAGCAGTACCCAACCCTCAGGGGAAGGGCATGTCGCCCTCCTTAGGGGGCATGGGGGGAGGGGGATCAGCAGGGGGTGTAGTCGGAAGCCAGACAAGGATGAACGCTATGATCAGATCGAGGGGGTTGGCATCAACCCCTCCAATAATGGCGATCGTACCAAGTCAAGGGGGAACTGGTCAACAGGGGGAACCACTCACACTGGGCTGGGGAGGGGGGGGACTGGGTGGTGGATGGGATCCACACCAGGTACCCCTGACGCCTCCGCCGCCTTTGATGGGGTCGCAACTTGCTGGAATCGGAGTGGGACAGATAGCTCCTCCTCCCCCAGGGCTCTGGGCGACGGGACTCGGACCACAACTCACAGGGATACATGAGGACACGAGACTGGCGATCCAACCATTCCACACGGCCCAACCGATGTCGAATCAACACTGGGCAGGGAGAGCGTTAAATCCGTGGGAACAATTTCGGGGAGCAGGTTTGGGATTACACGGGCGAAGGACGGATATGCAGAGAAGGTGTACGGGCGGGAGCCAAGGACCTGACTGGTCCTATGTGACCATGCACATTAACTCAGAGTTCGACTATGAAAACAAAGGCGAGGAAGGGGAGGCAAGACAAACAGGGGGCACAACGGGAGAGAATTGCCTTCAAAACTATGGAGGGGAGAGGAACACGAACGAAGCCGGCACGACAGAAGTTCTACAGCGCGACCAGATTATGAGGGACCCAGGGAATAGGACGTCCTTATTTGCGCCAGTGAAGACTAGAAGAGTAGGAGAGCAAGGCACTTGTGAGCCGACAAAAGAAGCAGAGGATGGTGAAGGGGAGGTTGACTATTTTAATATTATCTCACCACCAAAGCAGAAGTCGACAGTTCAGCAGACGGGAGCCAGGGGAGGAGGAGCGAAGCAGGCATGTCAAGGGCAAGGACACCACTATGTGGTGCCCCTCTGTGCCTCCCTGGCCCCACAGGGAATCAAGATCCTGGCTGGGAAGGCGCGAAGCGGGGAATTTGCACTCCCAGCTGTCCATGTGGACAGCTTCCCCGGAACAAAAGACGCCATACGCGGAGCAGTAGCGAAATTTGCGGCCGGCCGCTTCCCATTCAGGCTGATTCCAGGGATACGGGTGGGCAGGAAAACAGTCGATATTGGGGAGGAAATGAGTCTGCAGATTCATCTGGCACTCGTAGACATCAAGATTACGCAAGACTGTGCAAACACTCTCGAGGCTCAGGGCATTCATTGGCTACCTCCCCAATGGTTGATGCAGACACATCAGAAGAGGCTGCAAAGATCCATCTCGTGGGCGGCGTGAAGGCACAACGGATAGCCAATTTCTGTAAGTTGCTGCCACGAGATAAGAAGCCGTGGACACCACACTTTCGCAGCCTGCTTTGGCTGCTGTCACACTCTGCAATTCCAACGGCGACTTGGCTGCAGGATAGAGGTATGCCAGTGGACAGAACGTGTGGGAGATGTGGCCACAGACTAGAGGAGACGTTACGCCACCTTATTTAGGACTGCCCAGCATCAAGACGAATATGGGACTGGTGGATAACGCACTGGCAGCAACTGAATACCGCCATGGCGTGGGACGATACCTGGGTCCTGACAGGCCAGCTCCCCCCACTGTTCTTCAGTAGATCTGATTGGGGATATATGGCCCAGGCTATTCGTGCAGCCATCATGTGGGTGATCTAAGAGGATCGCAATAGCATCCTTTTCAGCGGGGAATGGATGTTGGACATCACCTGCAAACGCAAGATCAGAAGGATAATTCGGACGATGATTCTTGCAGAGTGGGTTCGAAAGGCAGACAGGGGTGATCTGCCACGAGGCAGGAGGTGGTTCCTCTTCACATGGGCAAGAGGCAATAAGCTGGCGGCGGTGACCCTGGAAGGGAAGCTGGTCCTGGCACCATGGCTACAGGTAGGTGTAGGAGAATCTTAGTGTAGAAGCCTCGGAGCTTGGGTTCGGGAGTGGGGTTTCATGAGGTTCAGGATGTCCAACAGGGTAGTGGTGGTTCCGATACCCACCTGGCCAGCTCGGTGGAGAATGGGCCGCAGGAGGCCAATAGAGTGAGTCTGCAGTTAAATGCTGGGACTGGATTGGCAGTCAGACAGAACTGAGGCGAGGTAGCCTCGGGAGGGCCGACATAGGCTCTTATTCGCTGTATCAGTAGGTGGGGTTAGTCGCCGTAGTGGCTGTGGGTTAGTAGAGGCTAAATCCACTTTCAGATTGCTGCTGTTGCTTGCGGTGGTTGCTTGGTTGCTGTGTTTGTCTGTTGGCTTGTTTGATTGGTTTGTCTGTTTTGCTGTGGTTGTTTGGTCTGATGGAGTTGGGTGTGGGACCCTTGACTCGGAGGTGGGAGTGTTTAATTGCATATTATGGTACATGATGCTGTATTGTTTTGGTTCCTTAGTCGGTGGTTTGATGTTATAATGCTCGGTGGGAATGGGGGGAGCTGTTGGCTAGCGGGTGCCCAGGACCGCAGTCTTGGTTTTTCTGGTTATGGTTCGTTGTTAAAATTGGTAATAGTATAGACAGTGAGAGAGGGACTGGGCTACGTGGAATAGTTCACATAGGTAGAATTGTAAGATATTGTAATTTCGACAGGACCAACTCGGCCGAGGTCTTGCCCAAGGCCGGGTTGCTCTCTAGGACATTTTGAGTGAGCTACTCTGCGGTTCGGTTCTTCTTTCGTTGAGGGTACTCTAGCTGGTAGCAGGATAGGATTGGAGGAATTGGTTCACTACAAAGCGAAACTGGGTAATGCTCCCAGAACCGGTCTTTATGTGAGGTGGCCGGCCTCTCCCCTTATTTGAATGAGTACATAATGTGGTGTTCCTTTAAAAAAAAAAAAAAAAGTGTATCTTGGCCCATACTG